GAGTTATAAACTTTAGGAGGCTTCATACTGCCTTGTGTTTTCATATTTCTTATGGTTCCATGCTAAGATTTGTGTATCTGTTGGGGCGGATATCCCTTCCACTTTTACGTGAGGGCTGTCTTAATAAGCAACCTTCTCTTAACAATGTGTTTTGAAGTATGGTTTATTGTGTAGTGTTGAGTTTTACTCCAATTGGGTTTCGTAGTATACTCTCCCTATGGCTTCTTTGGATGTGATTAGTAAATTCTGACACAAGGCCTACAGTATCAAAGCCTGAGGAATGCTTAATCTGTAGTTCATGAAACAGTGGATCCCTCTGGTAATTTAGGCTGATGTGGCATACACCACAGACCATGAGGGATGCACCCTTGTGGATACTCCTACATTGGGAGTGGAAGCCCCTATCATGTGGTGAGGGTTTCCATTGCCACTACTGAAATTGGCTCTGCTATGTGAAAGCAATTCTGATATTGACTCTTTCAACTGGGGCGAAGGACCTGATGCTTTCATCCTCTGTTTAGCCCTTAGTACACTTCCTGGTGTTTCACTTGGAGAGCCACAGGCTGAGATTAGAGCCCCCCCCTGCGGCACTCATGTCCAGGTTGACAGGATGTAGGAGCAAGGGATGTTGAGGAACCTCATAGGTGTCATATCCACACAGGAGTATTATTTCTCTTTGCTCTTATATGGGGTGACTGTCTAGGAACAGAACATCAGACCCCTCTAGTTGTGCACACTTGTGATCATATCATTGTCTAGGGGCATTCTTTAAGTTGATGTATCTGCCAAGGCTCAGGAAGGATTGGGTCATGCGAGATGCAGTTCCTCTCAGCTGGGCTGGAAGCGTAGCTCAGTGACAGTGCAGCAACCCAATATGTGCTAACTCCTGGGCTCAATCCTCAGTTTTGAAAAAAAAAAAAAGGTAAAAACAATAACAGAAAAGAAAGGGTAAAAAAACAGAATATATGTGTGTATTAATGTTTTAGTTGTAGATGGACACAATATCTTTATTCTATTTATTTTTATGAGGTGCTAAGGATCAAACCCAGTACATCACACATGCCAAATGAGTGCACTACCACTGAGCCACAACTCCAGCCCCAGAATAAAAATATTTTTATAAAAGGAAAAGAAAGCAGGAGAAATTTTTTAAAAAATCATAATTATAAAAGGGAAGAAATGAAAAAGAAAAATAAAAATAATAGCATATTGGCTAAGGGCTCTTCAGCCCCCAATTCTTTTCATCGTGGTGCTCTCCAGGTGACTGGCAGGAGTGCTTTGTGGCTGACGCTTTAAGTTGCTTTGCACATTGGACTGAGCCACCACAGAATGTATAACTCACTAGGCAACAATCTCTTCCTGGTCTTTTGGGCTACGCATCCCAGGGTGAAGCCAAGCCTCTGCCTTTAGGCAGAGATTCTTTCCACAGTTCCCTGGGTTGTATGCTTCAAGGGACAAACACTAGCACATGTCACCAGGAGCTTGGCAGGTAGGGAGAGGCCATGGAGCTCAAAGATCTATGCTGGGAGCAGAGATAGCAAGTTCCATGAGATCCACCACCCATTTTGCTAGAGCCCCAAATTTGGACTTGACATGAAATCACAATCAAGGGATCAGCCCCACCCCATCACCATTCTAACAGCAGATCTCCCAAACTGTCAACTGTCAAGAAAGTACCTTCCACAGCACAGACTGCAATTCCCACCACATAGAATTCTGAGTGGATTTGTGTAGAAATCTTGCACCTGAGCCAAAAGAGTCTCCTAGAGTAAATGCCCACTGAGCCTGGGCTAAGAAAAGGCCATTGGATCTTAGAGCTAGAAAAATGCAGGTACTTCTGATCCCCTTAACAGCAAGCTCAAAAACAACAGAACCCTTCTCAAGATGGCTCCCAGTTATGGCACTCTATGTATAAGCAGGAAACGCAGAGACCTTCTCTCGCACCAGCATGCTGTGCAGATCCCAGATCTCTTGTCTCTTTCAAATTGTCAGATTCTGGGCTTGTGGAGATTACCAGGGCTCTGTCCTACTCATCTGTACCCGTGCTGGGGGGAAACTCCCCCTCCCCCTGCTAAGCCTTCAAGCCTCGGTGCTGGGGCACTGTTCTCTTACTACACTAATATCTAATATATCTGGGTTTCACCTGGTCACTGAATCTCTACTATTGCACGCCCACACTTTCCTATGACCACCCACCTCAACATGCAGCTACATGCCTGTTGTTCTGGTTCTGTCTTACAAGAAGCAGAAGAGTCCTCTAACCTGCCATCTGTGTGCTTTTCTCACTCTCTTTCTACCTCCAGATACTGTGAGTCTTGCCCAAGATGAGCTTCACAGATTGTCAGGTTGCACATGGCTTCAATCACATCAAAATAGCTCAATTTAACTGTTAGAGACCATTTTTTTTTTTAAGAAGATACCTTTTCCTTGGCTGTTTCCAAATATATCAGTTTTGGTCTATATGTGACAACTTTCTTAAGGATATGGAAAAAAAACTCATGTTATATACCATTTGCTGCTTTTGTCTAAAGCAGCACATAATATTTCCACATATCTCAGCAGAAGTTAAAGTCTTTAAATAAATATACAAATAAGGTGACAATAACATACTTTTTCATTAAAGAGAAGTGAAAAGAAAAGAATAAGCAAAAGTTCTTTGAAAGTGTCTTCTTTGAGGACAGAAGAGTAGCTCAGATTCAGGTCAAGGGCAAGAATGACAGCTGAAGAAGTTTCCCATCCTCTCTTCTCATCTTTTTTTTAAAAAAGTATTTTCTAGTTGTAGATGAACTCAATACCTTTATTTTGTGTATTATTTTTATATCTTGCTAAGGATTCAACCTAGCACCTCACAAGTGCCAGGCAAGTGCTCTACCACTAAGCTACAAACCCAGCCCCTCTTCTCATCTTCTTAATGCTACTATCTAGAGCCCTAGTCCCATCTTGGGTAACTATGGTAACTTAAAGAGCCAGACTCTCCTAATGCTTAAGGAAATATAAGAGGGAGGCACTTAAGAAGGCTGATGTGGTTCCACCTATACCTGATGCACAGGGGAGAACAAGATGCTCAGCCAGTGTCTCTCAGAGAAACAGCAGAATCTGGAACTAGTGCACTGCTAATGGTTTGGAGTTTAAATGTCCTTGAAAAGTTCATATGTTAAAGGTTTGGTCTCCAGCTGATGGCTCTGCTGGGAGGTGGTGGCACTTTTAGGAGGTGGGGCCTACCTAGAGGAAATAAGTGTGTGGTCTGCAAGGGTACATTTGGACCCCTGCTCCTTCCTTTTATTTCTCTCTGTGCTTACCAGTTATGAGCTGGGTTGGGGATGTAGCTCAGTAGTAGAGCACTTGCCTACCATGTCACAGGACCTAGATTTAATTCCAGTACCACATAAAAATGGTAATAATTTAAAAACAAAACCACCAGGTGCCATGAGCTGAGTGTCTTTGCTCCACCGTTTGTTCCCACCATGATGTTCTGTCTTACCACAGGCTAAAAGTAATGGGGTCAGCTGACCAGGGACTGAAATCTTTGAAACCACGAGCCAAAATAAATCTCTCCTCCTTTCAAGTCATTAGAAATGTTTTGTCACAATGACAGAAAGCAGACTAACACACACACCTGAGAATTTAGTTCATTCTACTTACAGATTTTGAAATTGAGGAAGCTGAGGCTGAATCTTCCTTAATTAATATTACTTGGTACCCTCAGTACCTTTCTGGCAAAAACACAACCCTGTTGTCCTCATATAGCACTGCTTTCTGTCCACCGAATTCCCAGGGCCTTTTAATCCAGGAAGCTACCCAGCACTGAAAAGGACCCAATAACCAAGCCACCATTAATTCCCCCAAGGCAAGTCTCACTTCTTTTGCCATTTTTAGAAATGATAGGTATTTTCCAATACGTATAATAGAAAGATGAGAATAATCAACCCCCGGTACATATTGTCTACTTAAACAATCTTCAATTTATCACTCTGGAAAGAGAATTTTGAAACAAATTTTGGGTATCATTATTTCTTGTTAAGTAGTAAATACTTAAAGAAATCATGTAGCTACAAATGCATCAGGCACTTTTCTTCAGGGAGCTTAGGTGTCTCTACTGCATACCCCTCAGCTGTGCGAATATTTTCTATTTAATTTCACAACTCTAGTGCTAGTGGCCAGTTAGCACAGAATACTAAGTTGCTCTGTGACCTTATATATGCACTAACAATATTAGACCTTCATGTAGTGAGGAATTCTGGTGAAGGGATTGTTTGGACAGTAAGAAAATTGAACTTATGTCAAGAGATAAGCATATTTCTTCCTTAAAGAAAAACCATTGACATTGAGCACCTGCTAAACTGGGCTTAGATCTGGCCTGAGATTTAAAGTCAATTTCCTCCTCCACGAGTCCATATGAAAGGCACTAAACAATGTAATTCTTAATTTTAATAAATCCAAAAATTTTCACATCAATGGGATTATGGTTCTCCTAGGGCAGAGATGATTTACTTGTCCTAAGGACAGAATGGAAGTTTAACAATAAATACAGCAATACTTTTCTTTCGTACAGCCACTGAATTCTTGCCCATAGGAAAAAAAAATACATCAAAAAAAGACTGTATTTAGAAGTTTTAATTCACAAATAAGACTGTACTACTGAACTAAGTAAATAGGGATGTCATTGTGAGTATATACAGAAACATGGATGCCGGTCACCATAATGTGGATAAGTAACATTTCATTTCTAATCTTCTCTTCTGCCTCCTCTTCCTCACACCTTAGTTTTCTATATGAATTTACAAATATATATTTAAAAACAAGAATATATTAAAGAGTCAGTACAAAAATAGGGGAAGCCAGAACTCTTAAGTTACGTTATCCTTAAATTTCATTCATTTGGAAAATTTCATTCCAAATATGAATGTTTTTCTGAACAGAGTCCACAAAACTCAGTTTTCTACCTTTTGAAAACTTGGAACATTTTATCCTGTCTTGCAACACAGTTCAGACACTCATACCTGCTGAGGTTTCTCTGAATTTGTCACTGGTCTTCTTTTTCCTCCATTTCCAAGGCTTGAAGATTTTACCAATGGTAGAGAGCTTCCCCTTTCTTTTGAAGGGAGGTGTCTGGGAACCTGCTGTGGGGCCATCTGAGTTGGCTATAGAGGCTTTGTCCAGTCCATCAACTATGGAAAGAAAAGTCAAATCAGAGAAAGGCTTCAATGAAAGTTAAAACCAGCATCAACTATCTCTTCCTGGACTCTTAACAGCAAGCATGCTTACTCTGATTGAACCTCACATAAAGGTGAGTTTGTCAAATTTCACAGCTGGTAGGACTCCCCTGATATCAATCAGTTAATCAATCCGTCATAAATTATAGTCCCCTTAGGTAATGGTTCTTGGGAAATAAGAAAGCAAGAGACTTACATAACAGGTGGGGACAGACAAGTGAAGTTCTGCAAAACACAGCTGAATCCATCAGCAACAACCACATCAATATTTTGTGCAGAAATAGAGGATTCTAAGTATTCCAGAAATAGGATGTTCCTCTGGAGGCTAGTTTGGCATTCTCAGTAATGAATATCACAGTTATGGTGTAGTTAAAACCATAGTTTCTCCTTCACAAAATACAATTTGATGCCAGGAAGCTGAATGCTATTTTTACAATGCTAAAACTATCTTTTGCTTCTGTTACAAGGGAAAAAAAATTAAAAATTTTCAGCTTCTATTTATCTGATAACTATCACTAACAGCAAGAAATATGTGGAAGATGCAGGTATTGTGTGTGATAAAACATATCTTGATATGCCTTTGTCATTTTATTAATCAGAATAAAAGCACAAAATCTTAAGTTTCCTTGCACTAAGTTCTAAACAGAAGGGAGATAACAATGACTTACATTACCCCAACTACCATATTTTAGTGACAAAGAATTAGAAGCAGCCCAGAATGGATAAACTACAGTATTATTCATTCAATGAAATAGCTCTTAGCACTTTAAAAAATGAGCAGATGGATAAATATGCAATAAAACTAAATAAAGCAAAATGTTAAGTGTTGGATCTAGGTGCTAGGTTTGTGGGGGAGGTACGATCCTTTTGTCCTTTCTGTATTTTTTGAAAACTCGCAAAATAACACATTGGGGAATCATATGATCATCTCAATAGATGCAGAAAAAGCATTTGACAAAACACAGCATACCTTCATGTTCAAAGCACTAGAAAAACTAGGGATAGTAGGAACATGCCTCAACATTGTAAAAGATATATATGTTAAACCCAAGGCCATCATCATTCTAAATGGAGAAAAATTGAAAGCATTTCCAGTGGAAAATGGAAACAAGACAAAGATGTCCTCTTTCATCACTTCTATTCAACAACATGCTTGAAACTCTAGCCAGAGCAATTAGACAAAAGAAAGAAATTAAAGGGATACAAATAGGTAAAGAAGAACTCAAACTATCACTATTTGCTGATGACATAATTCTATATCTAGAAGATCCAAAAAATTCCAACCAGAAAATTTCTAAAATTAATAAGTGAATTCAGCAAAGTAGCAGGATATAAAATCAACACCCATAAATCAGACACATTCCTATATATCAACAATGAATCCACTAAAAGAGAAATTAGGAAAACTACTCCAATCACAATAGCCTCAAAAAAAAAAAAAAAAAAAACCCTGGGAATCAATCTAACAAAAGAGGTGAAAGACATCTACAATGAAAACTACAGTACAGAACACTAAAAAAAGAAATTGAAGAAAACCTCAGAAGATGGAAAATCTCCCATGCTCCTAGATAGGCAGAATTAATATTGTCAAAATGGCCATACTACCAAAAACATTATATAGATTTAATGCAATTTCTATTAAAATCCCAATGACATTCTTCATAGAAATAGAAAAAGCAATCATAAAATTTATTTGGAAAAATAAGAGATCCAGAACAGCTAAAGCAATCCTTAGCAAGAAAAGTGAAGCAGGAGTCATCACAATACCAGACCTTAAATCATACTACAGAGCTGAAGTAACAAAAATGGCATGGTATTGGCACCAAAATAGACTTGTAGACCAATGGTACAGGATAGAGGACACAGAAACAAACCCACATAAATATGGTAATCTCATACTAGACAAGGGTGCCAAAAACATTCACTGAAGACAAGACAGCCCATCCAACAAATGGTGCTGGCAAAACTGGAAATCCATATATAGCAAAATGAAATTAAATCTCTATCTCTCACCCTGCACAAAAATCAACTTAAATTGTATCAAAGACTTAGGCACTAGAACAAAGACCCTGTGCCTAATAGAAGCAAAAATGGGCTAAATCTTCACCATGTCGACCTAGGATCTGATTCCTAAAGCACAAGAAGTAAAATCAAGTCACAATAAATGGGATAGATTCAAATTAAAAACCTTGTTCTCAGCAAAGAAAACAATTAATAATGTGAGGAGAGAGCCTACAGATTGGGAGAAAATCTTTACTACATGCACCTCCAATAAAGCATTAATCTTTAGGACATATAAAAAACTCAAAAAACTTAACACCAAAAAAATTAAATAACCCAATCAATAAATGGGCTAAGGAACTGAACAGACAATTCACAGAAGAAATACAATTTATCAACAAATATATGAAAAACTGTTCAACATTTCTAGCAATTAGAGAAATGCAAATCAAAACTACTCTAAGATTTCATCTCACTCCTGTCAGAATGGCAATCATCAACAATACAGGCAACAATAAATGTTGGTGAGGATATGGTAAAAAATGTACATTCATATGTTGCTAGTGGGATTGCAAATTGGTACAACCACTATGGAAAGCAGTATGGAGATTCCTCATAAAACTGGGAATGGAACCACCACTTAACCCAGCTATCCCACTCCTTGGTTTATACCCAAAGGACTTAAAATCAACATACTGCAGTAATGCAGCCTCATCAATGTTTATAGCAGCTCAATTCACAATAGCTAGACTATGGAACCAACCTAGGAGTCCCTCAATAGAAGAATGGATAAAGAAAATGTGGTATATTTACTCAATGGAAATTACTCAGCTTTAAAGAACAGTGCAATTATGGCATTTGCCAGTAAATGGTTGGAGTTGGAGAATATTATGCTAAGCAAAATAAGCCAATCCCACAAATCCAAAGGTCTAATGTTTTCTCTAATTTTCGGATGCTAATTCACAATAAGGCAGGGGGCACTAGGGAAGAATAGTGTTACTTCAGATTAGGTAGAGGGAAGTGACAGGAGGGGAGGGGATGTGTTGACAGGAAAGACAGTAGAATGAAACAGACATGATTACTGTGTGTATATATGTGACTACATGACCAGTATGATTCTGCAACATGTAGACTCAGAAAAATGAGAAATTATATCCCATCTATGTATGGTATATCAAAGTGCATAAAGGCATTCCATTGTCATGTATAAGTAATTAAAACAAATTAAAAAATTTAAAAGGAGAAACAAATAAAAACCAAAAATGGAATAGCAAAGCCTTGTACTTCCAGGAAGATGGAGGAAGCTTACTTATTCCTATTTCTCTTGCTAACACCATTACATCAAGACACTGACACAAATAACAGGAATACATCTCAAAAAAAATTGTGCTGAAAGGGCCAGACAGAAAGAGTGCATGTGTGGTTCCATTATATAAAGGTCAAAACAGGCAAAATGAATTTATGGCAAAAACAAACAACAATAATAACAATAACAACAACAAAAAACCCTAAGAAAATCAGAATAATAGTTCCTTCTGAGGATGAGAAGGAGGTAGAAATTAATTGAAAAGGGAGTTGAGGGAACTTATGGGGGTGATGGAATTTTAATAGTGGTTGGATTATGCAAAACTGACCATAGGTATTTACGTCTTTGTGCATGTCACTTTAGGTAAAATTTACTTTAGAAAAACCATAAAGAGAGTAAAATCTAATTAATGACATGCCTGCTAAAGTGTTTAGAGGTTAACTGTACTTATATCCATCAAAAAATGAGTAAATGGATAAATAAGTGGATCAATAGATGAAATGAGTAAATGGATAAATGTGTAATAAAATTAAATAGAGAAAAATGTTGTGTTGAGTCTAGGTGGTAGATATGTGGGGGGAGTATAATTCTTTTATTTTTTTCTGTAGTTTTTAAAACTTTTATGATAAAATGTTGAGGCAAAACAATTTTTTTTTCTTTTAAAGCAGAAGCTGAACTTGCAGCAAGTGTTCCTGCTTCTCGAAAGATGGAGTACAGATACTTATTCCTATGTGTCTTGCTGAACATCATCACCTTCATGTCATATATTTAACAAATGTAAGAAGACTGTGAAAGGTGAAGTAACAGTAGCGCAGTCTGGGACCTCAAAACTCAAGAACCAGCATGCGGTGAGATTCCCTAGGTTTGCTTCTGGCCTTACCCACCCCACCCTTGCAGCTAAAGAAGATGGCAACCCAGAAACACAGCCAATGGGCTCAGGTCAAAAGAGCCTCTCTCTAGCCATGGGTCCAGGGAAGGGGATACCTAGCAAGACAAAAACTCTGTAGATGGTACTTGCTCTGAGTGGTCAAACACCACAGAAGGACTGTGACCACCATGCCAGAAAAAGTTGAATGGAGGAACTACACTTGCACTCTCTCGGGGCTCCAACAAGGGACCCTAACACCCCTGAGGGAGTCGGAGTCAGAATCGAGTCTTGTGAGAGAAGACCAGCTGGGGAGCCAGGACCTTCACATCTGCATCTGCTAATGAACCATCCCCAGGAGCATGGATTTCCACCCCATCCAGAATAACCAAATGTTACTCCCAGTACTGGGCTGGTGTCAAATCACTGCCCACTGGGAACAAGGTCACCATCCCTTTGGGTCCTTGAAGACCATGTGGGTATCAGACAGTCTCACACCCACCCAACAGTAATGAGGACCCCCCCATCCCCATACACAGTATGCCAATGGAGAACAAGAAGGGGAGATGGACTCTAACACCACAGGGGAGTGGGGGAGGGGGGTGGGGACAAGGGACACTCACTGCTTGCCTGGCAGAAGAAGTGTCAGACAAAGCCAATGAAAGCAGGTTTCAATAAAGTCTAGAGTCTTGTAACATAATACAAACAAGTTCAAGTTCCAGTGGGGTGGGAGGGAGGGTGGAAATCACTTGACATACCAAGAACCAAGAAAAATCTCAAAGT